CTGGACGACGACGATGACGACGGCGACGACGACAACAACGACGACGACGACAACAACGACGACTAGGGGAACTACGAGCCAAAGGTCTGGAGACCGCGCATGCCAGAATGCCTGGCCGCCTCTGCGGGGCTGGGGCGTGGCGCCGCATCGACACCGCCGGTGCGAGGAAGGGCCGCTCGGCGCGAAGAGAGGAGGGATACGCTCTTGCCGTCGGCCCTCGTGGATCGAGGTATGAGGCTCGTGAGCGTTTCGGAACGTTTCTAATATTTTCGAGCCCATCCTTGGTCCTCAGGCAGCCTCCCGAGGCCTCTGGGGACCTCCAAGGGCAAAGATCTGAAGCGGCACTAGAGCTCACCACGCACCTTCTCCTGCCTCCCCTGCGTCTGCTGGTCCTCCTCCTCCTCCCCCTGCTGCCACCGCTGCTGTTGCTGCTGCTGCCGCCGCCACCGCCGCCGCTGCTGCTGCTGCTGCGGCTGCGGCTGCGGCTGCGGCTGCGGCTGCGGCTGCGGCTGCGGCTGCGGCTGCGGCTGCGGCTGCGGCTGCGGCTGCGGCTGCGGCTGCGGCTGCGGCTGCGGCTGCGGCTGTGGCTGCGGCTGCGGCTGCGGCTGTGGCTGCGGCTGCGGCTGCGGCTGCGGCTGCGGCTGCAGCTGCTGCTGCTGCTCCTCCTCCTCCTCCTGCTCGTTCTCCTCCTCCTCCTCCTCCTCCTCCCCCTCCTCCTCCTCCTGCTCCTCCTTCTCCTCCTCCTCCTGCTCCTCCTCCTCCTCCTCCGCCTCCTCTCCTCAACCTCCTCCTCCTCCTCCTCCTCCTCCTCCTCTCCTCCTCCTCCTCCTCCTCCTCCTCCTCCTCCTCCTCCTCCTCCTCCTCCTCCTCCTCCTCCTCCTCCTCCTCCTCACCGCCACCACCACCACCACCACCACCACCACCACCACCACCACCACTGCACCCACATCCCGCCTGAGGAGGAACGCCGCCCTATCTGGGAACACGTTGGGATCACCTCGCGCAGTGCCGAAAGCAGGGCCCACTGCGGGGAGGAGTCGAGAAACTGACGCCCAAGGGGGCGATGGCGCAAGTCGTTCAGTGGTTACCGTGGGGTCGATGGCGGTTGTGATTAATGGTGTTCGCGTTGTCAGGTGGGAAGGGGGTGGGAGGGATGGTGGTGGTCGTGGTGCTGGCGGAGGCGGTGGCGGGTGTCAGCGCCGTTTGTAATGATGGGTGATGGCCGTCGTGGTGTTGGCACTGGCGGCGCTGGCGACGGCAGCGGCGCCGGCAGTGAGAGTGACGGTGGCTGCGGGGGTGGTGGCGGCTTTGGCGGTGGGACCAGCGTTGGCTGCGTAGGCAGTGCGTGGTGTTGGCCGCGACTGTTCTGGTGATGGGGGTGCCGATGCTGGCTGTGTTGCCCGTGGGGGTGGCGGCAGTGACGCCCCTGCTGCTGGTGGTGGTGCAGGTGCCGTTCTTGGCAGGAGAGGAATTCTGCGGCTGCCCGCACAGCTTTGGAGCACTTGCCCGACTGAAGGAACAGACACCTCCTCCACCAACGCCTACACTCGGAGGCTCCCTCTCCCGTGATGGCACGTACAATCAGTCATACACGAATCATTGCAATCGACGCAGCAATAGCAGCCCGAACAGCTCCACACCAGAAAACCGTACGAAAACAGCGACAGCCCCATTCGAACCCCGATCTCCCTGCAACTAGTGGAACATGGATGCGCACACGAAGATGTATTGGAAACTGGGATATGAAAGCCTTCTGTGACGTCGGCGCCACTGGGAAATCTGAGTGTCGCGCTCTGTCGTGAGCGATGTGCACGCGAAGTTGTGCGAGAGTGCTATGTTCCGTGGGGCGTAAACTCCGACTGTCATGGCCAGAATGCATGCGGCGGATGTCTCGATTGTTGGCTGCAGGTGTCCCGACGGTGTCCTGATGGTTCACTGATGATGTTCCTGATAATGCCCAAAAGGTGCCCAGGTGGTTTGTTCATGCAATCCTGCTGCTGCCCCGTTGGATTGATGATGGTGTCCAGGTGACTTGATCATTGTATTCAAGGGGGGGTGAGGTGAATCACGCGGTGTCCCGATGGTTTGGTTATGATGTCTTTGTGGTGTCTCATTGGATCTATGAACGTGACGCGATGGTCTCTTTGAATGTGCCCCGATGGAAGTTCTACGGCTTGCTGATCGTACCCGATGACGCCCTTATGCTGCCCCGATGGTTTAGTGTTTCTGCCCCGACGTGTCGTCGATGATGGCCGATAATGTCGGGGCGGTGGACAGATGTCTTCCTGATGGTGACCTGATATTCCGACGATACTGTGATGAATTTTTGATCGCATGCAGATGGCATCACATGCTGTCATGTAAGACGTCTGTAAGACACGCGTGGTGACCCGATGATTTTTCGATGATGTCCCGATTCTGACCTGATGGTGTCCAGTGATGGTACCATGATGACCTGTCCACGGCTCGTTGATCCCGATCGTGCCTCGGTAGGGACCAGCGGATCGTACAGATGACCTCTTGCTGTCATCCAATTCAATGTCCGACGAGAACGCTCATCATTCCCTCACTCGGCTTGCCTAGATGGCTCTCGACCTATTTGCTTAATAGCTCCCACGCTCAATCAACATCCTGGGTGGGCATGTCCTTCATATGTGCCTCCCGAGTGCCTTGCGTGCATACCCGCTGGCACCACACAAGATGCCGGCAAGAAACCTCGAGATGGCCCCAGCTAGGCCCCATAAAATATGGGACGTCACGGGCCAGAATGTCCCAATGTTGCCCCAGGATGGCTCAGCCAGGGGAGGCGGCGGCGGAAAGCGCAGCCATTCCGATGTGTGAGCTATACATGGCATATGCGTCGATATACCCGCATACACACACACACACACACACACACACACACACACACATACACGTATATGCGTGTATGAATGACGCCTGCCAACCCCATGGTCCATGTTCTGCGAAGAGTGGCTTGGAGAAGTCGACAGAGCCGATGAGCCAGCAACTCACACGACAGCGCGGAGGGGCCACACGCAAAGCTACATGGGCGTGACTTACATGTGGCCTTTTTCTTGAATAATCGAAGTAACGGCTACGATGCATCCAAACGCCGTTATGAGGAAATGTTTCCATCGGTGTCGTTGTTTTCCAACTGTTTGGAACCGATCTCTATTGTATCGAACCGCTTTGGAACCGTCAGTACAGCAAGTTTTGAGGGGATGTCCCTCACGATCTGCTGTTTTCGAACCGCCATCCTTTGTTTCGAACCGGGTCAGACGCCTGATTTTGCAGAAAATCCTACGCGAAACGCTCGTTTTGCTATTGTTTCGAGCCGGATCATATTGTTTCGAACCGAGTTCGAACCGTCAATCAAAACAACAATTGTTGTGAAAATGTCCCTCACGGTTGGCCGTCTTCGACCCGCCATACCGCTTCGCTTAATAAAACTTTGATTGAGGTACCAAGCCCCAGATGGCTCCCTGCCCCAGTTGCGAAGCACCTCCCTCGTAACATTGTGCCAGGCTTCACGACCCTAGCGGGGCGACTAGTGACGTGTGCTCGCATTGCGGATGCAGGATGCACTTTTGCCGACCCGTCAACATGGGGAAATATATAGCCCCCCGCAATTGCGGATAAGAGTGAGCGGGCGGGCGCGGGCGACGCGGGCGTCGAGCCGGCGGACCTCGTGGCCCTCACGAATGCAAAAGAAGCCCGCCGCAGGCGCCGAAAATTTTGGGTGGGTCGCGGGGTGGGTCGCGGGTGGGTCGCGGGTGGGTCGCGGTGGGTCGCGGGTGGGTCGCGGGGGTCGCGGGTGGGTCGCGGGGTGGGTCGCGGGTGGGTCTCGGGGTGGGTCGCGGGTGGGTCGCGGGTGGGTCGCCGATGCAAAAGAAACCCGCCGCAGGCGCCGAAGTTTTGGCTTGTTCAGTGAACGTAGTTTGGGTCGCGGGTGGGTCGCGGGCTCCCCACCTCCACCTGGAAGGAATTCAAAAACAGCCCGCCGCAAGCGCCGAAAATTTTGATTTGTACACTGAACGCGGTTTGGGTCGCGGGTGGGTCGCAGGTTCTCCACCTGGAGCGACCTGGAACGAATGCAAAAGAAACCCGCCGCAGGCGCCGAAAATTTTGGGTGGGTCGCGGGGTGGGTCGCGGGTGGGTCGCGGGTGGGTCGCGGGTGGGTCGCGGGGTGGGTCGCGGGGTGGGTCGCGGGTGGGTCGCCAGTGGGTCGCCAGTGGGTCGCCTGGGGGGTCTCGGGGTGGGTCGCGGGCGGGTCGCGGGGTTGGTCGCGGGTAGGTCGCGGGTGGGTCGCGGGTGGGTCGCCGGGTGGGTCGCGGGTGGGTCGCGGGGTGGGTCGCGGGTGGGTCGCAGGGTGGGTCGCGGGTGGGACGACGACAACAACAAACAACAAACAACAAACAACAAACAACAAACAACAAACAACAAACAACAAACAACAAACATCAAGCAAACAAACAAACAACCAACCAACCAACCACAACCACAACCACAACCACAACCACAACCACAACCACAACCACAACCACAACCACAACCACAACCACAACCACAACCACAACCACAACACAACAACAACAACAACAACAACAACAACAACAACAACAACAACAACAACAACAACAATAATCCGCATCGCGGAATTCCACTTCAGCCACGCACCCAGGGACACTGGATGACCGTTCGGTTCAGCCCCCTCACTCTGATCTCATCTCGGCACAGGATGGACCCGTGATCTAGGGACCCACCGTTTTGTGGAAACCAAGAAAGTACCAATACCGATCCCCCCCAGACCTCTCCTGGGGTGCGTTCTGCCCAGATTTCGAAGCGAATCCAGCGGTGGTGACGATGGCCTCCCAGGAGGCCCCAAGGAGAGGAAAACGAGGCAAGCGCAGCGGTATGGGTACCTTCTCCTCCTCCGACGCTTTCATGTCTCCACGCCCAAGCCCCAGGGAAGCCTGCATCAGGACAATCTTTCGCATCCGGTCCCCTCGTTTTCGCGCGCTCGGGCCTCCATGGGGGCGGGCGCAGCCTCCGGCCCACCCTGGCAGCCCCAGCGGCGCCTGGTGGGCGCCAGCGCGCAGGAGGGTGCGCGCAGGCGCCCTCCCGCAACAGTCGCCCGGACAGGGTGGGAGCGCCCTCGCTCTCCCACGGGGACAGACCGTCGCACGGGCCAAACGAGCGCGTTCGACCACTCGCAAGGTCACTACTCGCAAATGGCCTGGATCCCCCGCGGGGGATCAACGATAAATTGCATGAAGGCAGACATGTGTTTTTCGGACGTTTGCGAGGAGGCACTTTGCGAGTAGTGGAACGCGCTCGGCGACGGTCTGCAGCCAAAATCGCGAACCGAGCGCTCCACAGGCTCCAGGAACAAAAAGGGGCCGGGCTGCACCCGCCTGCACATGCGAGGGCGACGCACTTTTTCTGCGCTGGGCTCCCGGAGCCGCGCCCTGGGCAGGCAGCCTGACGAGCTCTGCCACTTGAAACTGGCCCACCAACAGTTGAGCAGGGACCGACCGTCCCGGCATTCCTATAGTCCTACCACGACATGTTCTTAGAACCCACAAATGTTCTAACAGCAAAAACACTGTTCGTAGAACATAAAACCCGATGTGATGAAACAAGACAGTCCCAACCAGAACTGTTCTAAGAGCATCTCGTGGGAACCACAAAAGGTTCTTAGAACATTGTTTGGTAGGACTACAGGCGAGCCAGGACGCCTCGCCACTGCTTGAAGTCAGGCGGGAGGGGCACGAGGGAGCGGGAGGGTGGAGGGTCTCCCGCGGCCTGTCGCGGGGTCTCCGTGGCCGGCCCTGGGCCTGCAGGCCGCCCGCCGCGCCGCTGGCCGCTGCCCACGGGCCCGGGGATCAGAGCTCGCCGCCGACAGCGGCGCCGCGGTGCAGGGCGCTGTGGTTGCACAGCTGGGGCAGCAGGGCCGGCCGCAGCGGCGAGCCAGCGCTGGCCGCCCGCAGCACCTCGACGGGGGTGGAGCCCAGCAGCAGCGTGCAGCCGAACAGCAGCACCACGACGGCGCCCGGGTGGGCGGCCACCGCGTGGCCCCCACCGCCGTGGGGCCGCAGGTGCAGGAGCAGCAGGCAGGGCAGGCAGTAGGCGGCGGCGGCGAGCCCCAGCGAGCCTGTGAGCGCGAAGGCGACCTTGGTGGGCAGGAAGGCATCAATCAGCACGGCCAGGACACCAACCATGCCGACGAGCACCGGGCGAGTTCTCGGAGATAGCAGCTGGCGGCCGCTCCGGGGCGAGCTTTCATAGTCGCGCGGGTGGCAGCAGAGCCCACATAGCTTCTCCAGAGTGTGGATGGTCGGGAAGGCCACGATCGCTACCAGCAGAAGCGTGCTGACGCCCACCACTGTGTTTATTGATAGTGACAGCACGTCCGTCAGAGACGTGTTCGCGAGAGCCAGCGACCTGGTGTTGGTGCCAAAAGTGAAGACGCCGATAAGGCCAACCAGGAGGTATATGCAGCAGCTGAAGACCACGCTCATCCGAACAGCTGGCTTCAGCTTCCCCACCGCGGAGGCCACGTCGCCGCCCACCACTCGCTCCTCCAGAACCTCGAAGACCGCAAAGCACATCGAGAATGAGAAGGCGAGTGTCGCGACATTCTCGAGGATGTCCCCAACGCTCTTGAGTGCGTTCTCCGTGTCGAACTTGAACAGCTCTGGTCGAGGTCCTCCGCGCCCGGCCACCAGTTGCACCGCGCAGTGTCCGACGAAGAAAATCGAGGCGCAGGTGATGGCGAGCACCCCTGCTGTGGAGATCCAAGCGTTGGAGCCCATGGAACGGCCAAGGCACCGAGGCAGCACGACTGCGGTCAGCACAGAGAGCAGTACTAGCTCCTTAGCTTTGCTGAGCACTTCCACACCGTTCTCCCCGCTGTTGACGTCAAAGTCAAGGAAGAAAGCCACGACTACTCCAACCAGGATCTCTTTAACAGACCCAAGATAGCTCAGGGTGGCGATGAAGGTGGTAATGATGGTGATGAGCATCATGGCGAGTTCGCCGGCGGCGCCGAAGGCGTGCTTCGCGAGGCCGTCGTAGGACGTGATCCCCAGAGCCGCGGCGCAATCCAAGAGCGCCTGGAGCGCGAAGTCTGCGAAGAGGCCCAGCACGATGACCCAGAACGCGCCGTGCAGAGCCCCCAGCTGCAGGAAGGCGTGCGGGATGGTGAACACGCCGATCCCAAGCGACATGGAGGTGACCTGCCACACCGCCCGAATGTCCAGGCCAGGGCTCTCTGGATGGGCCCGCTGGCCCTGAAGAGCCTCGCCGCCGCTCAGCGGCGCGCGCAGCTCGCGCGCGCAGGCGACCAGCTGCAGGGGCGGGTCGCCGTCCTCCACCGAGATCCCGGCAGACAGCGCACGGCCCGTCCCAGCGGCGGCGCTCCGCTGTTCGCGGCCGTCGCGGGGCGCCATGGGCCCCAGGGAGGAGCTGAAAGGCGGGGAGGAGGGCGAGGAGAGGGGCGAGGAGGAGGAGGAGGAGGAGGGATCCAACACCTCCGACGTCGAGTTTGCTTCAGTCCGTGGGCTGCAGAGCCCTCGACCCCGTCCCCCGGGACGTTTTTGGCTTTCCCCCGCGGGTCGCTTTTCTCGTGGCATCGAAGCCCAAACCACGGCCGCCAAACGCCGATCCGGAGAAGGATGGCCGGGCCGGCCTCGGGCAGAATTCCGACGTCGGAGGCCTCTGGACGAAGGCGGCGCCCATTACGACGGCCTGGCGGCGGCAGCGGCGGCGGCGGCGGCGGCAGCGACAGCGACGCCGAAGAGGAGGGACTCCGCCCCACGCCCGGAGCCCGGCCGTGCGCGACACTTCCCCTGCCACTCGAGCAAAGTCCT